GACACACAATGCTGCACGTGGCATAGAAAGTATGCCCTGACTTAGCTATCCAGTTTCATCTCCTTTCACTCCTGACTTTGTCCTTCACACTGTAATGTAACCGACCTACATATAATTCCGTGAACACACCATGCCCTCATAATGCCATACAACTACTCAGGCTATTAACCCCACGTGGAAATGCTCTCTGCTGCTTGTCAACCTACCCACTTCTACTCGACTTTCAAGATTCAGCTGAAAACATGACCACTGCTAAAATCCTCCCGTGGCATTTCCACCAGGGATCAAGAGCTCCTGCTAGCCTTCCTTTGCACTTATCTCCATTATGGCAAATAGTATGCAATACATGAACTGTTGGTCAGGATGTCTATTGTCCTACTAAACTAGAAGATCCTTGATCAAGGACAGTGACTTCATCTTTATAGCCTCAGCACCAGTTCAGTGCACATAGCATACATATAGTTGGGAAAAAAAAAAAATGAACTCTAGGCTAATGAAAGGACAAGAAGATCGACTGGATTTCAAGTATAGGAAAAGTCCAGATCTGGGGTTCTTGAGTGGCTCAGTTGGTTAAGCACGTGACTTCAGTTCAGGTCAAAATCTCATGATTTGTGGGTTCAAGCCCTGCATCAGGCTCTGTGCTGACAGCGCAGAGCCTGGAGCCTGCTTCAGATTCTGCCTCCCTCTCTCTCTGGCCCTCTCCTGCTGGCACTCTGTCTCTCTCTTAAAAATAAATAAATATTTAAAAAAAGAAAAAGAAAAATTTTAAACAAAAGACAAAGACCAGATCTTAAGAAAGTACAGACATCTATTCTTAGGTCCCACCCATTAAAAAAACAAATAGAAATACATGACTATTCATGTAATATCAAGTTAGCAAAAATGAAAAAGAAAAAAGAAAGCATCATTGGACTAAGCAGCAATAAGGAGGTAAGTAAGAGTCTCCTATGGAGCAGCTGACAAAAGATCAACAGAAAGTCCAGAGAAAAAGGTGTTTCTTTCTCTGAGTCAAATAATTCATCAACCTAAGTCCATGGACTGAGCAAAAATCGGCACCTTTCCTCTGTTATTTCACCACTCCTCCCCTTTGTCTTTATTCCCCATTGTCTTTCCCAGACCCCACTATTAAATTCCAGATTCCAGGGGTAATGTCCCTCTGCTGGGAAATAATCCACAAATCCTGCCAGTGGATTATTCTGAGATATAAGGCAGGGGTTGGGGAGGTTGGTAACCTTTGTTCTTGTGGCCAGGACCCAGAGGGGAGAAATGAAACTACTATTTACTGATGGCTAATTCTGTACCAGATATTGTGCTACTTTACAAACGATCACTAAATCTCACAGTAATCATGAGCAATTATCCCATTTTACAGATAAAGAATTTGTATCCAAGATCACAGCTAAGCAATCACAGAGCCTACCTGAGAACCCACAAGTAATAGCCTCTAGGTTATTTCTATACTCCTGACTGCCTCAATGTGAGGGATACTGTCCAGCTGCTCTAGGCTGGAACTCAGAATATATTATCCTCCAAAATCCTATTATAAATGTTGGCAAGAGTCTATGGTACCACTGATACATAATGGGCATACAGTGACTTAAAGTAGTTTTTTGGGGATCCTGATCCGGAAATCTAAATGCTATTTGTTATTTGGGTCCTATAAGCACATTGTTCAACACTACAAACAAAAATGGACTTGTAAATGAATTTCTGGAATACAATGGGCTCTTAAGTGAGCCTTTTCTTTAAGAATATGTTTCTTCCACAAAAACATCACCAAGGATAGAAGCTATTTTACCTCGTTGACTTGTAAGAGCATTGACACCAGAAGACACCTGTGGGAAATGTCTGCTTCTCTGACCAGGTGCTCCTTTAGCATGTGCTGGCATTTGAATAAAACATCACACTAAACCCGACAGACAAGACCTGATGACAGAATGCCACAAACTACAGCTGAAAGGCCTATAATCTACTGACAAAATGTACTCCTTAGCGAAGTGAAGACAGATGTCTGGTGTAAAATCTGATATCTGTGGACTTGTCTTTCTTGGCTTCCAGCGCTGTATTAGATACACTAAATACACAGCTTAGCTGTATATTAAACCAACAACTTGGCAAAATCATGACAGTTTGGACATGAAGCATCAGCATTTTTATTGTAATTCTTATAAACCAAAGACACTTCTGAAATAGAAATCCTAAATTTAAGCACTCAGCTAAATGCAGTAGTATGTCTTTCCCACGATAGGAACAGTGTCAGAGCTTTTTAAACACATTTATAGAAACCCTTTCCCTTCATTTTTCAAGCTGACACTCTTTAGGCATAGCTATGGAATGATTTCATAGGAGAATTCAAGCCATATCAGGGGTCAGTCCTTGTCCCAGAAATTCTAGAATCGGATAGAACAAGTGATTGTGAAAATGCAAACACCCACCTCAGGAAAGTGAAGTACGAGATACGTTACTTTAGTACCAAGGAAAATCAGTAAGAATGTGATGGGTGACCAGATAAAAAAGGAGTTAACAGTATCTACATTCCAGACGCTGTTTTTTACACACTTTTTAATATACTCCTTGTTCTGTTTTAACGGGTGAGAAATTAAGGGAGCAAAGTTTTAACTGGTCCAAAGTCGCAGAGCTAATGAGATAAGAGCCAGGACTCAAGCCCAAGTCTAAAAGAATGTAAAAGACAGAGCCACTTCTACAGGGGCCTTGGGGTGGAGCAAGGGGTGGCAGTACACAGTCAAGAACATAGAGCTAGAAGGCCAAATATGAACATATAATCGTGAAACAAATAGTTGAAGAAGTAGATACAAACTGTTGACAAGGTTCATCTGAGAGTAGGTTCTTAAGAGATTTGCTTTCCATCTTTTACATCCCTGAAAGATTCATTTTTAAATAACTTGTTTTAACCTTATATAACCAGAAAAGGTCATCTTCAATAAAAAATGAGGTTAAATGTACAAGAAACTCATACAGGTGAACAGTCTAATATTTATTTTCTTAAGTGTATCCCCCGTAACACTCTCCATGTTTTCTCATCTTACATTATCTTTATGCAACAATTCAAAATACTATCATCATGTAATTTTTATGCTGGTACAATACACTTACTACACTGGAAAATGACTGTAACACTGTAACACCACACCAACCAGTCTTAAGGGTTAACTTGCCTCAAGCTTATGCACTTCTTGCTTGCTGACCTAAGTCCGTTGGTCTGCAGCCAAACTAACATACTTTCCTAGAGATTTGCAAAGCACTGGCCTTGAGGAGTGAAACACCAAACTTTCCCAGAAGATAACACCTAATCACATTCAAAGACAGCTGGCACTGATGCAGCAAGACTGTTCAGGGTCATGTCAACATACCACTAACTGCCTGGGCCCCAGCTTCTCCTGAATGTGGCATCCTGCCCCCCTCCTCATTCTTCATGCCTTTCACTTTAAAACTCTCCAGCTTCACCTGGACTGGAAAGATGGTCTTTGGGACATTAATCCACCATCCTCCCAGGTTGCTGGCTTCCTCAACAAAGCAATCTTTCCCTTCCCACCATCACTTGTCTCTCAAGTATTGATTTTCCAGCAGCCAGCAGTCAAACCTGAGTTCAGAACTGATTCTCTGTCCAGTAACAACACTATTCTAAAAAAGGACACAATTCACCATGTCAGTAATCCTTAAATGTTTATCACTGAAAGTACCAGAAGCAGAAAAATAGCACTGTACACCCACAACACTGCATAGACTTCCACATGACTAAGCTCAATAGTATAGGGAAGGTGTTTACATTATCACTTAACTGTTCTGAAAATCCACAAAAAGCCTTGTGAAAGGCCTGCCACAAATGGCCATTTCCAACACAGGCTCATCATTCTTACCATCCTACTTCTACATCAGTGCTCAGTCTTTTGGGAAAAGATAATAAATAAATATCTACCGAATCTGTGAATGAACCCATCATCCATTACCATTTTCTACAGTTTTTCATACATATGGTTACATATATGGTTATCTACCACTTGAGCACAGACAAATAAGGCAGGTTAATGGTACAGGCAGCCAGTGTCAAGTTGCCACAGAAAGCAATTCTGGCTTTCCTGTGTAAGTATCCAAGAAAAGTTTGCTACATTCTTGCTCGTGGCTAGCCTGAATTTTAACTAACTTAAAACATTTAGTGAAATGGGACACATAGGATACATAAGGTATTCCCAGTGTTCTGAGAGGAGCTGTTTCATTCCAGGAAGAAGGTAGAAGAATGGAAAGTGATTGAAGATTTGCACAGAAGAGCCAATGTAAGACATCACACTGAAAATCATAGCAACCCTCCCAGTGTTTCAGTATGCTGTTTGGTCACTTTTCAGAAGGAAAGAGAGTATTTGTGAGGGGGTTTCAAAGAGAAAGTCAAGGGAAAAAGGCCCTGCCTGGTAATTTCACTGCCGTACCAAAAAACAAAAACAAACAAAAACAAAACAAACACACACCAAAAAAAACCATCTGTGAACTTGAGAGAAGATCCCAAAAGAATTTCAATAGTTATGATATTATTTTTACCCTTTGGCATTCTAAAAATTTTTACATTAAATCTCTTTTTAAAAATCTGTGGGTGGGTTCCTGTCAATAATCAAGCAGGGCCATGACTGTTTAATCGGGGATTAATCAAAGCTAGCTTAGAAAGATGGATGGGAAGCAGACAACTGTAAGACCAACGTTCCAAAGATGGGAGGGGTAATGACAGTTTTTTTGTGGGGTCAAGTGGCTAAAAGGGATCTATGTCACGCTGTCAAACTCCCAGCCAGTTCTACAGGCTCCAGGGCTGGAAAAACTCTTGGATTCAGAGCCTGTGACCCTTGAAGGTGGGCGTCAGGGTGCTGACGATAACGGTACAATTTGGCCCCCAAATCCCCCAGGGGCAGTTCTGGGTCTCAAATTTTTCTCTCCCTTGCTCTTTCTGATATAAGAAAGCTCCTAGCTCCTTCCACCCCTGATCATTCCTTACTTACCCTTTCTCCCGTTCTTCCTCGGTGAGAAGGGGTAAGTGGTTATTTTGTGCCCTCGCCCAATTTGGCCAAAACCCTAAAAGTAAAAATGACAAGAGACAGACAGGTGCTTTAAAATCCTGATGTTGAAGCCTCAGAACTCCCACCACCTGCCCAACACTTCAAGGTGGAGAGCAGCGTGTCCCCACAGCGCTCCCTCACGGCCAGGGCTTGGAGCCGGAGCTGTCCCTTCTCCGGGGGTGGGGGGAGGACAAGGAGCGGGCGCGATCAAGGGGTGCCCACTTGGCGGGGAGGAGCTAGTCACCTCCCAGCTACGTGTCGCCGTCGTTAGGCGCCGAGGTGCCACCACAGTTAGCCGGAGAGGTAGGCGACTGTGCCGGCCGCCGCGCAGGGCCTTAGATAAACACGCGCACGTACACATGCTCGCGACCCCACAGGACTCGCGGCCGAGCAGCCCTCAGCCTCCCAGCAGTTCCCTCCCCGCCTGCAGCGACTCCTCCCGAAAGGTCCCAAGCCGGGGGGGACCACCATGGGTCAGCGACTGCGTGCCCGCCCGCCCCCGCCAGCCTCACAGACCCCCCGAACGGCCGCCGGGCTCCCGCCCTCCGCACCCGCTGCGCAGCTCAGCCCAGGGGAAGTCCCCGCGCTGGCCCCGCCCTCCACCGGTGTCAAGCCCCGCCCCCGTCCCCCAGCGCGCGGGAGCAGGGCGAAGCTCCTCCTCCGGCGGGAAAACGGTGCCGCCTCCTCCCCCTCCCCCCTCCCCCGCCAGCGCCCGCCTGGGTTAGGCCCAAATCCCGGTATGGATTGAAACGGAAAAAAATAACACTCATTCAGCAAGCAATAACTGAGCACTGGCTCACAGTTCTGCACCGTATTAATGGCACTGTGTCTTCAGCCCCTCCCCGTGTTATATAGGTCAGGAAACGGAGACCCCAGCAGTTGCTTGGAGCGCACAGCTACCGTGGCAAAGAACCTTTTGAGTGCCCCCCCACACCCATTCTTGCTTTTTTTCTACTAAAGTGTACACAGGGAAACTATTTCTAGGAAAGCCAAAAGGAATAATCTAAAACAGGTGGTTTACTTTGGAAAAGCTGGAATTTCATTACAAACCTTTCGTCTTCAAGTGGTACAAACTTACATGGTTATTACAACCTACAAAAAGAAAGTGGAACCTAGATTTACCAGTCATAAAATACTTATTCTCTCTTTTATCCCTCCCCCAATTATATCCCTTACTATTGCTGACTTTATCGTTTTTCCGAATGCTGACAAATTACTCTATGCATTTTCAAATCATTTAATATAAATGTTAGTACCGGATGCTCTGAGACTCTGGCTTAAAATTAATTCTAAAGGTTTAACCACCTACTCAGAGACTCAAACCACCTGCTAACTAGAACTCCTAGAGTCTCCTGAGAATAACATTGCTTTCCTGCAAAAAGGGCATGTAGTTTTTCTAAGTCATCACTGAAATAATTACTGTAGAGCAAGGTTTTCTCTGCCAAAGCTTAAGGATTTAATTCCATGAGACTTAACTGCATGTGAGGACCACTTTTATCAAATAGCAGTGAGAACCTATCTATAAACTGGATTGGGCTCCATTGGCAATTGGACTGGGCCCTATTGGTATTGTGAAAATTAATAAAGGAAAACCTCACTAAAGTGGAATTGGGAGGCTACAGCTGTACCACCCACTCCATACCAATTATAGATCCGTACAGAGTAATCCTGGACAGGAAAGAATCATCAATGACAGTCCTTAACAGGGAAAGATGTACATTGCATTTCCTACAAGAAATCGGCTACCTTTGCAACCCAGCCAATGAGGAACCACATCATCCTGAACTCTTGCTTTTCTCCAGTGGACTTACATTCAAAACAACCCTTCCTGACTTTCTCCTTCTTCATAAAATAACAATCCTCTCCTTTGTTGCATTTGCCTGTGTTTTTTGCTATAGCTTCCATGCCCCAAATTGCAATTCTCTACTATTCCTGAATAAACCCATTTTGCTGATAAAGTAACTGGCTGTTTTATTTTCTAGGTTAACAGCACTAATAATTAAAAATCAATTTGGATGATTAATCAAATTAAATAAATGGAGTTCCTGGCCATTAAGAGCTGCCAGTCTACAAACCATGAGAGACTCTTGAATGCTGACAAAAACTGAGGACTGATGGATGTGGGGGGGAGGGGGGATGGGCATGGAGGAGGGCACTTTGGGGNAAAAAAAAAAAAAAAAAAAGAGCTGCCAGTCTAAAATAGAATGTACATGAATAAATAACAAAGACGGGAATATGTGATTTTTATTATAATGCAAGTTAGTTAACATACAAAAAGTGTTGCTAAGTCTGACCAGACTTTGTCACTAAGATTCATCAAATGTACTTAAGAACCTGAGGTCACCTGGAGAGGCTGTGTGGTCTAGTGTATGATGCCAACTATATGCTGTTCTGGAAAAGGCAAAAGTATGGAGATGATAAAAGGATCTGTGGTTGCCAAGGGTTGAGGGGCAAGGTGGGGGGCAGAGAGGGACGGGAAAGAGTAGGCAGAGCACAGAGGATTTTTAGGTCAGTGAAAATACTCTCCATGAAACTATCAGGATGATACATGGAAACCACCCCTATAGATTCCACATAACAATGTGTCAATGTGGGTTCATCAGTTGTAACAAATGTACCACTTTGGTGCCTGAATATTGATAGTTGAGGAAGCTGTGGAAATGTGGAGTCAGGGGATCTATTAGAACTCTATACTTTCTGCTTAATTTTTCTGTAAAACTACTCAAAAAATAGTCTATTAAAAATGAACACCTCATTTTCTTTAAATCCATCAATCAAATTCTAAACCGAATATTTGGCTTTATGTGTGTAGTTGAAATATAATGATTTGTCTTCTTATATTAGAACACCCTTCATGTGCTATTAGTGTCATCAGAGAGAAATAAATCATGCATGTGTTCCTAACTAAGATACAAAATTAAGTTATGGTTATACATGTATAATATTCAAAGAGATATTTAAGTAAGATTAACCTGAAATAATTAAATCTATAAATTCTATGAACATATTTATATTTTGAATCAATTTATATTTACATGTACTTACAATTAGTAAGCAAATAGTCCAAGTTATCAAAGAGATTTCCAAACTTTTTGGTATCAAGATCCCTTTACATTCTTAACAATGAGAACTTTAAAGAGCTTTTGTTTGTATGGGATATGTATGTCTACATATACTGTACTAATAATTAAGACAGAAACTTTTTAGATATGTGCTTAATTCATTTTTTAAGTAAATTCATCATATTATGATAATGAACATTTTTTAAATGACTACATTTTTTTAAACTTACTGAGGAAAAAAATGGACTTTTTTTACATTTTTTGGAAATCTCTTTACCATCAGTCTTAAGAGAAACAGGTGAATTTCCATATTCTGCTTCTGTATTCAGTCTATTGTGATATGCTGTTACAGCTAAGATAGCATGAAGAAAAGCAGCACTTGCTCAAATTCATAGCTGAAAAAGGGAAGACCTTGCAACTCCCCCAAAAAAAAGGGTCTCAGTAACCCCAAGGGACCTCTGAACTCACTGTGAGAATTGAGGCCAAATGGCATTTTTGCATTCATTTATTTCAATATCATGCATTCCCACACCAGTCTGCTAACACTTGAAATTATAGCCCTTCACTTATTCCAAGCTAAAACTCAAATTTGACATCTCATATCAAGCCATCACATTTCTAAAAGTGTTTTCAAAGCTTTTACTATAGCACCTCTGATGAAATAGATATTCTTATTTGAATACATATGAAAACATTTGAGATTCCATTTATATCTGTCATTTCAAACTTTCTGGGAAATTTTGAATATAAATTATGCCACCTAGAAAAATGGAACATTGTTGCACAGTTATTAATTCAATTTTAGGTATGCTTATAATGAAAAGTGTGCATTTCCTTTCATATAAATAATTTTAAAGTGAGCTTAAAATAAAAATAAAACAGCAATTACTTTTATTTATTAACTAAATAAATACTAGGTTCTAAAGTTACTGCCTTGAAATAAAATTTTAGGTATATAAGCTTTCATTTTCACTACAAATAAAATAATGTAAGTCACTCATTTGGGTTTTTAAATATAACTGCTAATTTAAAAACAAAAAACTAAAGAAAAAGAAACCACCTGCCCAGAGGAACGTCTAATGTCAGGTCTGCGGCAGGATATCCAGATGATAAGTGTCAGATATCTTGTCCCGCAAAGCCGAAGAACTCATTTACCACAAAAAAAAGGGGTGTCAAAAGGTCACAGATACCAAAACTAGGGAATCCTTTTGGCCAAAGATGGGATAATTTGAGGATTAACAAAAATAATGAATATAATTGTTTGAAACATATTGCATATATAAAAATCCATAAGCACTTAATGATACTCCAAAGATGAGAAGCCAAAAACAAAAACAAAAAACAGAACAATTGATTGGACACTTTTGCAAGAAACTAGGGCACTATCTCTTTATTTTACAGAAAAGAAAAGAAAGAAAAAGAATTATCATGCACATTGCCTTTCCTGTTGAACTGTATTTCAGAAAATCAAATAGCTGTTCAGGGGAAGGTTTTTTTTTAATAATAAATGTGGAAGAAAAAATAGAATTGGAAAAGTGAAATTTAGCACTCCTTTGTGAAATAAATGATTCAGTCAGCAACCATCAATGGATGAAACCATTACATGAAAGGTCAATGGCATACTTTACAATGGAGATCAGGGTGTCACTACCTCCATCTAATAATCTAAGTAATGCTGCAAATGGGACTCCGGGCATTGGTTGCCTTCTGATCTGATGTCATCTAAAGCACTCAGCAGCCCCATGAAGTGTTCTTGCAAACACAAAACACAGTGAGAACCAAAATTTAATCAAGCCTTAAAACTGACTTCCTGCTCACAGACTTGCAGGAAACATGAGGGTTAGAGGAACAAGTTAAAAGATACCAAAAAGAAAGAAATAGATAAATCTGGAGTGTAAGACAGTCTAAAACAACTGACATAATCTTCACAGCAAATTAATAACAGCACAAAAAGGAGAGGGAAAGGATGAAGAGAAATTCTACATTAAAGACATGTAGCAATCAAATGTAAGGTACGAACCTTGTTTGGGTCCTGATTGAAACATCACAGCAGTAAAAAGATTTATAAGATAATCATGGACATTTGACCATGGACTACTGTTAGACAATATCAAAGAAATACTATTATTTTATTAGGTATAATAATGGCATTGCGTTTACGTAAGAAAAATGTCCATCATCTTTGCAGAAACATTCTGAAGTATGCTGAAGTTAAATGACATACTGTCTGGCATTTG